CTAATTTTTTTTTTCAAATGCATTAAGTATTATTATTAAACATCATGCATTATTGTTATTTAATTATTAAAATATGTCAATACTTATTACTAGCGTATACAGTAGAATGGTATATACGATATTATATATAACTTAAAATTTGTTAAAAACAATTTTTGAAAATATATTTCTTTTAGAAAATAAACTTACACATAATGAAAATTTTTTTATGTTTATAATACTTTGAATTACAACAAAATAATAAAAAATCGTGTTTTTTGTTGAAATACTAAATTTTGTCAAAACTTCAAAAGCTTGAAAAAAAATAAATGCCTGCGTATTTTCAATATCTTTTAATTATTAAAATATATATAATTACCTATGAGGAATCTTGTATGATTGAAATTTTCAGTTCTCTTTGGTTACCTATTTTTATAAGTTATTAAATTCTTTTCTTTTTAAACGACAAAACACTAACTAATATATAATATATATATATTTTTAATATTAAAAATAATTTTAAGTTAAATAAGAAAATATTTTTAAAAATATAAAAATTTTCCGAACAATGACTGTTTTTTGATATTGTTTATATTATTCTTATCACTATATTATAATATGTGTGTGTGTAGTGTAATGTAGACCCACGCAAGCGGTTATAATATAATATATAAAGAATAAAGATACGTCGCATCGTTTCTTTTGCCGATCTCTTGACGGTTGCCATATTACGTTTATTACACCAAGAATAATAACAATCATATAGTTTTAGTATATATAGATAATATAACACACACACAAATTGCCTACGAATATAATGTTCGTCGTAACGAACAGTGGTGTGGTGGTGAACTGAAAACATTCTTGTGGGAAACGAGTCAAGTGTGCCGGGCAGCAGGATAATATAATGGATACATATTATACATACGGCATGGTAGCGGTGGCGGCTGTGACGGTGCGGCGTACCGGAAAATGCGATTGTTTTTTTTCGCCCTCCCGTCTCGAGCAAACGCGTCGACGCGGCCGAGTAAATATGATACGATTAACGGCAATTTTCGCTGCTCACTCCCTCCCCCCCACCACCATCATCATCATCATCATCATACACCCACGCCCTCAATAACCACCCTTCCGCCTCCTGAGAGAAAAATGATTCGTAACCAAAAAATCCGATGTGAAAGAAAATATGTTCCCAAAAAAATATTATATATAACGTAACTTACCTATACTTTACCTAGCCAACTCGTCTAATTGATACCTACAAATATGATATATATATTTATGTATAGGTCGTGCATCATAGTAGAAATTCTTTTCGCTCATCCAATAGTGTGATATTGACAAGTGAAACCAAAAATATATTTTATAATTTTTTTAATTCAAAATTTTAAGTTTGTTTGTTATATGGTGGTAGCTATACCACAATACATTGCACAATCTTTAATTTATTGCATTAAGTAACTAATTAAGTTTTAAAATTTTCAACAAATATTACGATAAGTATATATTTATATTTATGCGTTTACTCCAGACGTCTATTAGACAAGAACTTATTCCCAACGTTTTACGTAACAATCCAACACCTGGTTAAAATTTTTTCTTGTTGTGAGTTCTAACATTAATTTAAACATTTTTCAAATTAAAATTTTATTTTTTATTAAAAGTAATAACAGTTGAGAAGTGTGATTAAAGTTAAAGATTATATTTTCATTTGATAATAAATTCTAATAGTAATTATTATATTATTCTTCTCAATATTATTAATTGAACTTTTCTATAATAATATCATTATATTTTATTAAAACATTATAAAATTAATTAGATTTTCATTGTCGTTAAAGTGAAAACTGTTACTAGTTAAAACTGCGTTCTAAAATTAATTTATGTGATGTAAATATTGAAGCCTGTGGTTTTTTTCTTATAAAAAATAGTATACATTAACGCAGAGAGGTACTACGCGTAATAGTGGCTGCTGTCTTTATTTATATTATGATTTTCAGGATTTCCTTCTCATTTATTTATAATAACCGGCATCGGTGGCATTGTGTACGCCGTACGGTTTTAAATTTATTTTTTGATTATACGTATTAAATAGCTAATGCAAATAAAACAAATAAAATTTGTAATATATTCGAAAAAACCGGGTTATGATACTAATTTCATACGTTGAACGTAAATGGAGACTGAGAAGGTATATAAGGATATTATTGATGGATGCGTTTAAATGACAAATGTATAATTACATCCATTACGTATATAATTTAACTAAAGACTTTTGAAGAGGTACTGTGCACACACACACATATGACGTGTATTATACAATATGTTTGCAGGTACAACATACACATACAGCATATATATTTGTCTACGATTGAATTACTGTATCTACATTAACTATATTTAACTAATCAAACTATTATTTAATCACAGCATTAATTATTATGGAGATAATTTAATAACGAAATTCAATTTTAGATAGCAATCAGAAACATTTTATGATTCATTCAAGTAACAATTTATAACTTATTAAAGTTATTAGTTATATTAATTATCAAATAAAATAGAATAGGTACATATTTGATCACGCACTTTAATACACTTAATATACTTGAACGTAGCATTATGATAAAAGTGTTCTTTTGTTGGTAGTAACTTATTAATTATTTTTCATTCAATAAATATTAATTAGACACCCCTGTTTATGCTTAGAATCAACTATTTATTTTTGCTCATGTTGATAAAATTTTTTAATATTATATAAATCGATCCATTTAAGTGTCTACACTTATCGTTCCAAAAAATTTGAAGTTTTATATAAATATATTATTTTTATGCAATTACCAAATGTTTAAAAAAAAATAATTTATAGTATCGATAAAGTTTTTAAGTTTTTACCTATATTAATGGCAATAATTTTCAATTTGTAAAAAAATTATATTTCTAATAATTAATTAAATAGTTACCTATAACGAATTATATATTTACTTGAACAACTCTTTAAAATCCAAATGAAAAGAAAATCGTATTTATTAATATTTAGCATAGTATAATTTTGAATTGATTTATAGAAACAATATTTGGACGTGTTTAAAATTTTTAACACTGCAAGTCTGCAAACAATATTTGGTTTAAAATAACAAAGCTGATTTTATTGTAAAAATTAAATTTTTCGATTCACTAAAATTTACTCAACAATTATTATATATTTTTGCTTGTAAATTATTAGATATCGTAAATATTCTTCAATTCATTAGGTTCAAATAGTCTATAGAATATCTGTTTAATAAATAAGAGTTAAAACAGTGAAGTTCGAAGAATTTCCAATCGTACATAATTAATTTAGCTAAACTTTGAATGTTCTTAGGAATAACGTCAGAAAATCATACTGCTATATATGTTAATACAAATTTAAATAATTTAATAGAAATCTAACAGTATAATTACAAGACGTATTGTAACTATTAAATTAAATGGTATTTAATACTTTTTTCATAACGATAATTACGATAAAAAACAATGAAATATTGTTAGTACTCAGTAGCAAGTTAATATAGGAATCTATTGTCTATGGCTATATTATTATAATATAGTCACTATAGTCAGTTATATTATAGACGATTATGGAATTACAATAAGAATTTATGGAAAAAAATAAAGGGGAAATGTATAACAATCATATTAATTATTAATTACTCATTAATATGTTTATATTGTTTACATAACGTTAAGCGAAGTGAAACATATACAGATTAATTGTAGGTAATTATTTATATTACATATATATATATATTATGCTTACCGACTTCATATTTAATCAAAAGTTACCAGTTATAGGTATTGGACACATGATTTGTTTTTTCAGTAGCCATCTAATCCGTAAATCGTAAAGCATTTAATTGTTGGGAAATTAATTTCACTATGAATTTGTTTTTGGGAACTAAACACTATGACACTATTGTTATTTTATTAATTATTATAATGATATAAGGAACACGGCATAATAAGTTTACTATAGTGTACCTATATATTATATCATTTTAATAAGGTAAAAATAACATATTATATCCTTATCAGTTTATATGTAAACTCTTAAAAGATGTGTACTACGGTATAAAATATTAATGGATCATAAGAATAATAGTGATACTGAAAGTAGCGATTAGTAATACTGTATTTTACTGTCACAAACACGACACATTGATTAAGAATGCTTCCAACGTACCGATGGATCAAACAATGCGATAAGCATTCTAACAACATAATTTAATTCCGTCAAGATTACAAAACTTACAATATTATACTACACAGATATCGACGACTTTTCCACGGATGTAATTTGATCTTTTTACAAGTCTTACCAAAATTAATGAGAAAAATTTACGTATTTCAGTAGTTTTAAGACTTTGAGAAACTTAGAAATACTGTCTTACCAATCACCAAAGTGATATAATACACCAAAGTGTAGATATTATAGACATAAATATAAATAATAATAAAAATATTATAATACATTATATTGCAGAAGATATGACAGAAAAATTAGATTAGGATCGCGATATTTTTGTTCTTTACCCTAGGTAAGCAATGCAAATTGGAAATTATATGACGCGATGTCGGAATCATTGTTTGAAGCAAGTATAATGCGAGTCATCAGAAAATGTAGGTATTATAAAGTATTTGTGAGACGTCACTACTCTTAGGAACTATACAATCTTAAAAATATGGGTAGTTAAGTATTCATTTTTTATTTTTTTAACGTAGGTACTGTAAACAACCGGTTGTCGAGATAGGTTTAAAAATAAATTAAATTTTATTGATGACACTATGGAACACTTGGAACCATATAGTATCGTGTTTGGAACGGAATCCAACATGACATTTTGGTAAATGTTATGTCGGTCAATAAATGGTACCTAGGTCGAGTAAAGAAATTTCAGACATGGGGTACGGAACTCTAGGGGTTATACGTATATACAATAGAATTAAGTTTTGCTTCTAATTAAAGAAAAAGTAAAACTCACTTGAACCCTGACTTCCGGCAAGTTGACTTTCATAGCCAGCTCTTCGCGGCTGTATACGTCCGGGTAATGTGACTTCTCGAACGCTCGCTCCAGCTCGTGGAGCTGATAGGTGGTGAACGTGGTGCGGTTTCGACGGTGCTTTTTCTTGTCGGGCGGCGACATTCCGCCGGCCGCGGCCGCGGGCGACGCGCTAGCTCGGCCACCGGACAGTTGCTCGTCGTCCGGCTCGCCGTCACTGCTGTCGCCGCATCCGCCGCCGCTCATGTCGTCCATGTCGGTGGACCGACGCTGTTGTGGCGGGCCTCCTTCTCCACCGCCGTCTCCTCCACCACCACTTCCTCCACCGCCACCAATAACGCCTCCGCAACCGCCGCTGCGCATGATGTTATGCTGGTCGGATGGCACGAGCTGATGACGGTTTTGTTCGGTGTCACTGGAATTGCAGCTGTTTTCTCCTAGAAAAAGGTGTGCGCAAAATGAATTCTATTACTTGATATAATATAATCAATAATCACGCCAATAGTCACCAAGTAGTCTGTGTTTGTATGGATATTATGCCACAAGTACTTATTGCGTGCGTTGGTACATTTTAACTCGTTAACGTTATTATTAAATATGCCTGTTAAATGTACCTACCAATAAATAACGATACATATACATTATACTTTCTTATATAAATGTTATATATATATATATATATATATATATATATATTTGTATCGACATTGAAGAGAACACTGTCTCATTGTTTTGTACACTACACTTTAATACTATTGAAATGATCAGAGCAAAAAAATTTCTATTTTTCGGAGTAATATACGAAAATAAATAAATGTGCATTTTAAAAATTAAACGAGTTAATAAATAATCACGAAAATCTAAGTATTAATTAACGAATTATAGTACTATTAATGTTCTTAAAGTCCCGTAATCTTTTGAATGTCATACTATAATTGTAACACGCAATAAATAGGGAATTTAATTAAAAAGTAAGTATTGTTACAACTATGCGTTGTGCTTGTTATTTCGCTTTTAAAATTAAGGATTTAATGTACTTAGAGAAAATATAATTATGTTTATTTTAAAAGTCATCAAACGAATTTTAATAGTTAATAACAACAGTATAAAACAACAATAAATAAGATGAGAATTTGTTTATAATACACATTATTGGTTGTGCGCGCATAATGAGATAATTATTAATGTATACGATATTATAGTTACTTAACTGTTGAGTTATAAATTTTCGTCAAATTAATTTTACTTTAGCAAAGGGGAAAATTCGATTATGTTTTCTACAAAACAGAATATACGAGTAGTATATGTTTACGCTTTTTGTTGAAATTGCAAATAAAAAAAGCGAAGTTTTTATAGGATTTCGATTGTTGTTGTCAACCAAGTGTTTTTCAAGTACGACCATATTATAATACAAGTAGTCAAGAACCCTCCGGCAAGTAAACGTTTTCTTGCACAACAAACACTGGTTGACTCAAACTGTTTTTTTATTTTTATTTACTATACCTAACTAAAACTACCATATTTCCTGTTTAAAAATATTAATAAAGATTTAATGCATTATCATTAAATCGATTACCAATTAAATCCAAGCGCTGATTAAAATACTAATCTCATATACAAATTTAATATAACACATGCATGTTCTAACATATACATATCATAAGAATATTATAAAATGCAGAGCAATCGAGCTTTTGTTGAATTAACACGCTCAACGATACAAGTTTTTAACCGCATTTTTTACCTCTATTTTAATTTAATAAACTTAACAAACGGGCGGTCATAGACATGACGTGTACACGTATTGCTTCTACTGAGAATAATAATAATAATAATAATAAAACTGATAGTTTTATTGGATTTAAATAACCACTTAATTTACGCGGACTCCACCCACGAAATAAAAATTCCATCATGCATAAAGTGTTTTCATTCGGAAACCTTTTAATTCAGACTGCATAGCATTAACTAGATGTTTATCAGCCGTAGTATGTATAGGTAAATGTTATAATATTATATTATCTCCTCACAGACGAATACAAAAATAATATTACCATAATAATCGGCCGTCAAAAAACGCTACTGCCGATCGTATAAATATAATATTATTATATTATATAGACACGCTCAAAGATAACGACCGAACGTCACGTTGCGGTCGGCCGTGGTGGCGGCAGTAGTATATTTAATAATAATAATACAACGAATGAGAAATACACCGGTATACAGGTATACTGCAGTAACTAAAATAATAATATAATGTGTAAATCTAATGGCGGAAAAAATAAGAAAGATTTCGAAATGAGAGGCGCACTTACCGGTGTAAATATTATAAATTATAATGTATATAATATGTGTGCGTGCGTGGTGTGGAATAATTTGATATTATCGTTGTGTTGTAGTAAAAGTGTTTTGTAAATGGACCAATGACTTTGTAATTTTTTTTTTATAAATATATATAATTATTGTTCAATATATACATTGTCGTGAGCAATAATAAATATTTTAGTTTCATTTTGACGATTTTGACAAGTTAATCGATAGCCTGGTAGACTGGGCGTAAATGTGGAAGCGGCTTCTGACTGTCGCCACTAATCGCATACAACGAGAACTAACTATATAGTCGGCCGATTAAATCGAAAACATAATATTTTTATGAACGGAGCTACGTATTTAGAGGATCTGAGTTAACCGTATTCACATGTGTATATATTATTATATATGAATCTCAATATATACACAGCTGCAGGATGATTGGATGGATGGACGAGATCGATAGTCTCTCTGCTTAGTCTGTATATGTCATGTGGCTGTTCAGCAAGGCTTACAAAAATGATATAGCTGTATAGGTAAATGTATATGTTATTAAATAGATAATATCTTTGATAATACCATTACAACATCATTTGAAAGGAAAACAATTTAAAGGCAAAATAATAAAAAATACCAGTTATGTTAAAAAACACAATCTTGAAAATAAAGTAAGTTTATAATAAGATACCTCAATCAAGACACTATGTTGCGGCAACTGGTTAAATAGTAAATAAAATAAATTATATATCTCAGACCAGACTAGAATAAATATTATATTAAATTTACTTGAGAAACGAATAATTTGTGAAGATAATTAATTTTTTCAAGTTCAGGGAGATATAGTTAATATATATATATAAACTTTTAACTTTTATTAGTTACTTATATTGGAATCATATTATTTAAGGCTAGTATTTTGATGTCACTAAAAGTTAAAAGTACTATAAAATAAACTTCAAAAGATAAAAAATGAATTTAAAATCTCAGAAAATGTACAGTCAAAATTAATTTGAATTTATTGCATTACTTTTGAAAATAAAATCACTAACATTAAAATGTCAAGCAAACAAGCAAATAAAAACTGCTAAGAACAATTTTAATACATTAATTAATATATTTTATGTATTGATCTTTCAGAGTATAGAATAGAGTAGTAGGTAAATATCTCAAGTCGTGAAGTCGCGTAAATGTTTATTGTAAACATTGGTTTATAGAATAAAGATGATAAAATTAAAAAAATAAATTGTATTGCAATAGCCACTTTATTTACACATCTTTTCGTCCATTGAGCAACGGTATTAAATTGAAGTAATATCCCAATTCTAGTTTATTGTAGTTTTTATACATAAATAACACAAATGGTGTTTTAAATTTTCTCAAGAATTTAAAGCATGCTACTATTACTATGATGCTCTATTATCGATTGTCGAATTATAGAAGAAAAACTAGTTCACTATTATTATTATTACTGTTTTTTTTTTTACTACTGAAACTTACATACACAATAATATATACCCATGATATACCAACTATTAAAATTATACGAAGCGATTGCTGCAGTTATTTTTTCAGTTTTACTTTTTAAATTATATCGGTATTCGGTAGGTTTATACATTAACTAGTTAAAATTTACATTATACATATTATTTTATTATAACGACCGACATCAGTTCACCACCGCGGTATAATTAAACGTTTCGCCAGTTACCTTTATTATGCCAGTGGGTAGTATATTATACGATGTGTATGGGTACACAGTATTATATACATACATAATATATATAAATATATATATATATGTGTGTGTTAAGTTTAAACGCCCTTACCAAGCGTATATAATGTATATATATTTTGCGCTCGCGAGAGCGCTTAACGATTCTAAAACGAACATTTTTATTGCCTTGAGCATCGTGTATATATACACATTATCGTTGTAAGAGAAAAAAATACGAAAGTTTTTTTTTTTAATTCTTCCGCACTAATCAGATTAACGTTCAGACAGTACCGCCACCACCACCACCCGCCACCAACTATCACCACAACACCGCTGTCGTCCTGTCTGTTTGTCAAAAAAAAAAAAAAACCATATATATAAACATACCTATTTACCTAATACCTACATATATATTATTATACCTAGCTATATCTATAAACCCGGTATATATCCGGACAAGGCACGCGATACCCTCGTTAGCGGAATCAGACGCCGTCGCTACCGCCACCACCGCTGATATAATATTATACACACAGTAATAGTAATAATAATACATATCTGGTATAATATGTTATATACATATTAAATATAGTCAATAGCTAATGTATATAAACTATGAATATATATTTACAAGTTGATTTTTTTTTAACACCATCATAATTATTGTTATATCCGTAAATATGTTTGTGTTAAATTGATTTTTTGCAGTTTTAAGTATACCTTACACAAATAAGTAAATATAAATAACATTATATAATATTTGTAAAAATGCAATGTAGTATTATTAAACTTCTCATCGGAAAAGTATATTTTTGAATTTTTTAATTATTATTATCACAATTCATATTTTATAAACACCATCATTACATAATATTATATATATATACAATTTGTATCAGCCTAATAATTAATAATAAGTATTTAAAATATAAATATATCATTATATTTTGCAAGTTGTCCGCTGCTACTTCACTCTTTTTATATCTATACACTATATAGCACATTATATTTTAGATGTCTACTTCAAATGCTCATGATTATAAAAAACTATATGAGCTTCAAATTAAAAATGTAGCAAAAATTTGATAAATATATTTTCAAATTAAAGCATAAAATAAATAGAAAAAACTCATAATTTTTTTATCATTGTTCAAAATTACTATAAATATATATGCGTGTAAAACTAATCATTTTATACTTAGTGTATATTTATAAAATATACACCTACATAATATTATTATGTAGCCATATACTCATTTAGTTTGAATGCAGTACCGCGATTATTGCTATAATATTATATGACTGTTTAGTTTTAGTTAGAAAGTATACCTATATGTGTAACATAGACTGTAGTAAAATATAACACAGTATAACTTACAGGCTTACTACGGTCTACAACGCTTGCATAGT